GCCATTTCAAATCTTTTTTTTTTTTTTAAGTTTTAAAAAATATTTTATTTATTATTTCTATTCTATGTGTATGAGTATATTGCCTGCATATAGGTAAGTGCACCCGTGTCATGCAATGCCCATGAAGACAGAAGAGGCCACCAGATCCCCTGGAACTGGAGTTACAGACAGCTGTTAGCTGCTGTGTGGGTGCTGGGATTCAAACCCAGGTCTTCTGCAAGAACAACCAGTGTTCTTAACTGCTGAGCCATCTCTCCAGCCCCAAAAATATTTTTATTTTTGATGTGTATGAGTGTATGCATGTATGTAAGTGCACCTGGGTCATACACTTGTCTGCAGAGGCCAGAAGAGAGTATTAGATCCCCTGGAACTGGAGTTACGGACAGTTATTAGCTTCCATGTGGGTTCTGGGAATCGAACCCAGGTCCTCTGGAAGAATAGCAAGTGTTCTTAACCACTGAGCCATCTCTCCAGCCCCTTCTTTCAATTCTTATTCTAGCCCTATAAAATGCTATATTGTTGTCCTCATTTTACAGATGAGGAAACTGAGGCACAGAGAAGCTACATGACTCAGCTAATAAGTTTCAGAGCTGTGAGCTGAATCTAGACAGCTTGGCCTGCGTGTGTGTTTGTTTGTTTGTTTGTTTGTTTGTTTGTTTAAGACAGGGTCTTACTATGTAGCTGTGGCTGGCCTGGAACTCACTATATAGACCAGGCTAGCCTGGAACTCATAGAAAACTGCCTGCCTCTCCCTCTCAGTCACTGGGAGTAAAGACATGTGCTACCATTCCCAGCTTTTTATCTTTTTTTGAGACAGGGTGTCACTCTATAGCCCAGCCTGGAACTCAAGCCATTCTCCTACCTCAGCCTCCCTGCTGGGGTGACAGGTATGAAGCAACAGGCTTAATGTTAGTGTGTTCTGAGCATTAAGCTCCACAGATAAGGGTTTGGTTGTTCCAAAGGCTCAAGTGGGAGGCCTGAGGCAGGGGCGGTTCCACATGTACACCAACCTTCTTTCTCCCAGCTGTCCCCAAAGTGTGACTTGTCTCCCATATGTAGAAAGGAGACCTCAGAGTCCAGGGCATCTAAAATCACACTGGCTCATTGCTGGTCACAGTGGGAGGTGTATGCTACCTTCTCCTGTCCCCCTTCATTGTGTTCCCCTAATCAGATATCCTCCAATCAAACCAGTTATCTAGTCGGGATAGAGTTAGATGTCCAAGGTAGTAATTAGCCATGCTGGACCCACAGGCCTACTCAAGCCAGAATCTGTTTTTCATCCTTTCTTCTCCAGATAGGTTGCAAGTTCCACAGATTTTTTTTTAAATTTTATGTGTATGAGTGTTTTGTCTGCATGTATGTAAATGCACTCATCTTGTGCAATACTTGCAGAGATCAGAAGAGGGTGTCCGATCCCTTGGAAATGGGTTACAGGCAGTTGTTAGCTGCCATGTGGGTGCTGGGAATTGAACCTGGGTCCTCTGCAAGAATAGCCGGTGCTCTTAAGCACTGAGCCATCTCTCCAACCCTTATTTTTTATTTACTTATTTATTTTTGCTGTACTGAGGCTAGGCAGATAGTTACCCACTGAACTGTGTACTTAGCCCTTTTTAACTCTGAGCCAGGGTCTCACCTTGCTGCTCAGCCTGGCTTCCTCCTCACTCAGGCTCCTGAATAGCTGGATTATGGTGTGCTATGCACACACTTGCTCAGTTTAGTGTTTTTCTTTCTTTCTTTTTTTTTGAGAGAATCTTGCTATGCAGTCCAGGCTGACCTGGAACTGTTGATTCTTCTGTTTTTACTTCTTAAATTCTGGAATTAACAGGTGTGCATTCCTGCCCTCCCCCTTGTGACATGGTCTCACTACCTGGCCTGGAACGCAGAGATCCTCTTGCTTCTGCCTTGGAGTGCTGGGATTAAAGGCATGTGCCACCACACCCAACTTAAAATTTTCTAATTTTTATATTATCTGTTGACTTTTTATTGTGAAAAATTAGCATTCTTATACCTCTGTGTAGACAGTTCCTCTTTGAAAACATCAATTTGGGAGAAATTATTGTGACTATGTAAATGTTTTCACATAGCTAAAACATGTTTGATTAGTATATAGTTTGCTTAAACATAATCTTAATTTCATAATGCTCCATTTATTTATTTTTCATTATAAGGGAGGTATTTGCATACAAAATTAAAAACAATTTTTTTGGTCTTTATTTTTTTACAGGAAGACAGAGTCTTCCTGTAACCCCTGCTGGCCTGGAACTTGCTATATAGACCAGGCTGGCTTCCATCTCACAGAAATCTGTCTGCCTCAGCCTCTTGAATGCTGGGATTAAAGGTGTGTGCCACCACAACTGGCTCAAAGTTTTAGAATTTTTATTTGTCTTTTTGGTGCTGGGGATTAAACCTGGGATCTTGTGACACTTTTTTTTTTTTTGTCTTTTTGAAGCAGGGTCTCCCTGTAGCCGCAGCTGTCCTGGAACTCACTATGTAGACCAGGCTGGCCTTGAACTCACAGAGATCCGCCTGCCTCTGCCTCCCAAGTGCTGGGACTACAGGTGTGCACCGCCATGCCTGGCTTGTGACACTTTTTTTAAAAAAAATTTATTATTTTCATTTTATATGTATGAGTGTTTTGTCTGCATATATAGAAGTGTATCGTGTTGTGCAGTGCTCATGGAAGTCAGAAGAGGGTGACAGAGCCCCTGGAACTGGAGTTATGAATGGTTGTTAGCTACCACATGGGTGCTGGGAACCAAACCTAGGTCCTCTGCAAGAGCAGCCAGTGTCCCAGTGTCCTTAACCATTGAGCCATATCCTGTCCCAAACCTAGGATCTTGTATACAATAAACATACATTCTTCGACAGTAATACCTCAGCCCAGAGCCTTTTTTTTCTTCTAATTTGATTTTTTTTATCATTTTATTTATGTGTATCTATGTGTGTATGTGCCATATGTAGGGCTGTGTACAGAGGTCAGAAGAGGGCATTGGATATCCTGAATTCTAGGCAGTTGTGAACCATCTGATATGGTAACTAGGAACCAAATTTGGGTTCTCTGGAAGAACAGCAATCACTCTTAACTGCCAAACCAGCTCTCCAGTTGCTCCCCGCCCCCTTTAAAAATTATTTATTTTACTAGCCAGTGTGGTGGTGCATGCCTTTAGTCCCAGCGCAAGCACTCGGGAGGCAGAGGCAGGTGGATCTCTGTGAGTTCAAGGCCAGCCTGGTCTACATAGTGAATTCCAGGATAGCTGGGGCTACAGGGAGACCATGTCTCAAAAAGACCCCCCCCCAAAATTATTTATTTTATGCCTGCATGTATGTAAGTGCACCTTTGTTGTGCAATGCTCACAGAGGCCAGAAGAAGGCATTGGATCCCTTGGAACTGGAGTTCAGACAGTTGTTAGCTGCCATATGGGTGCTAGGAATTGAACCCAGGTCCTGTGCAAGAGCAGACAATTCTCTTAACTGCTGAGCCATCTCCCTAGTTCCTAAATTTAAATTTGGTAAACTGCTAAGAATGAATTTTTCTTTTTTTTCTTTTTCTTTTTTTTTTTTGTCTTTTTTTGAGACAGGGTCTCCCTGTAGCCCCAGCTGGCCTGGAACTCACTGTGTAGACCAGGCTGGCCTTGAATTCGCAAAGGTCTGCCTGCCTCTGCCTCTGGAGTGCTGGGACTAAAGGTGTGCACCACCACGCCAGTTTAAGAATGAATTTTTCTTTACTTTTTTAAAAGATTTATTCTTACTGTTATGTATGACTGTTTTGCCCACATGTAAATATGTGCATTCTGTGCATGCCTGGTGCCAGTGGAAGCCTGAAGAGTCTGTCAGATCCCCTGCAATTGGAGTTACAGATAGTTGTGATCTGCCCAGTGTGGGTGCTGAGAACAAACCCGGGTCCTTTGCAAGAGCAGCAAGTTTTCCTCACCACTGAGCCATCTCTCCAGCTCCTTTTATCTTATCTGCTAATCGAAGGGTTTCACATAGTCAGTAATCCTGTGTGTACTCAGTGAGTTGTTAGGTTATGCCTGCATGCTGCACACTGTACTTCTCCCAGATTCAGTGGAAGCCTGAAGAGTCTGTCAGATCCCCTGCAATTGGAGTTACAGATAGTTGTGATCTGCCCAGTGTGGGTGCTGAGAACAAACCCGGGTCCTTTGCAAGAGCAGCAAGTTTTCCTCACCACTGAGCCATCTCTCCAGCTCCTTTTATCTTATCTGCTAATCGAAGGGTTTCACATAGTCAGTAATCCTGTGTGTACTCAGTGAGTTGTTAGGTTATGCCTGCATGCTGCACACTGTACTTCTCCCAGATTTCCTCACCAGTAGATGTTTCCATTCCTCAGAAGGTCTCTCTCTCTCTCTCTCTCTCTCTCTCTCTCTCTCTCTCTTTCCCCCCTCTGGTCTTTTTGAAACAAAGTCTCCCTGCAGTCCCAGCTGGCCTGGAACTCACTATGTAGACCAGGCTGGCATTGATTTCAGAGAGATCTACCTGCCTCTGCCTCCTGGGATTAAAGGCATGTGCTACCATGCCCCGCCCTCATGTTTCTTCTGTCAACTCTTGCACCTAGGCCTGGAAAGATAACCATATTTTGTTTTTTGGGAGGGGAAGTGTACTGAATACCAAGGATTGAATTCAGCCTTGCACATGCTAGACAAGTGCTCTACCACTAAGCTAGATCTTCAGCCCTGACAATCACTTTTTTGATTTCTGTCATCATCAATCCAGTTAGTTTTGCCTGTTCATGAACTAGAATGAACATTTTGAAGGTTGTTGATACACAAGTAGTGGGTACTACTTTGGAAGATAGGACTTTATGGCCATTGCATTCTAGGGCTGCAGCCACAGTTACCTCTTGTGGCCTACCTCTTCCTGGGCAAGGACAGCTGTCCACCTATATATATAAGCATGAACAGACTGGGAATGGCAGATGGTCAAGGCCAGGGTGGAGGGCATCTCTTGGGCAGCTGGCTTCAACAAATTACTTATTTGTCCAGGCCCAACCCCAGCCTCAGTCTCAACTACCATCATCCAACAAGCGTCCCAGCAACAGCACACCACCTCCCACACAGCTCAGCAAAATCAAGTACTCAGGTGGGCCCCAGATTGTCAAGAAGGAGCGAAGGCAGAGCTCCTCCCGCTTCAACCTCAGCAAGAACCGGGAGCTACAAAAGCTTCCTGCCTTGAAAGGTACTCAGATGGCTGGGGGAATGATAATGTACTGGGCTTGGAGCAGTGGGCATTGGGTTGGGGGTATGTTGGGGAGAAGGAAGTTCTAGGGAATGTGAGGGGGTGTTCACTGTGACAGAGGAGTTAGTGAGCAGGATGGTAGCAGGGTAAGGAAGGAAAACCCTGCAAGGGCAAATAGGATATGGCATGCAGGATGGGGGAGGACCCCTGACTGCTGAGACCCCCACAGATTCACCAACCCAGGAGCGGGAGGAGCTGTTTATCCAGAAGCTACGCCAGTGCTGCGTCCTATTTGACTTTGTGTCGGACCCACTCAGTGACCTCAAATTCAAAGAGGTGAAGCGAGCAGGACTCAACGAGATGGTGGAGTACATCACCCATAGCCGTGATGTTGTCACTGAGGCCATCTACCCTGAAGCTGTCACCATGGTGGGCACAGGGAAAGGACAGAAGGGGCAGGGACGGGGGCCCCCTGGTGAAGCTGGGACAGTGCTCTAAGCTGGGCCCACCCCTCAGTTTTCAGTGAATCTCTTCCGGACGTTGCCACCCTCATCGAATCCCACAGGAGCAGAGTTTGACCCTGAGGAAGATGAGCCTACCTTGGAAGCTGCCTGGCCACATCTCCAGGTACCAGGGCAAGGGGGCAGGATGGCCCTGGCTGTAGGAAGCAGAGAATTCAGGCCTGTAGCAGAAGGGCATCTTCCAGGCCTTGGGGCATACATACCTCAGGGATGGATGTTCCTTTTCCTCCACAGCTCGTGTATGAGTTTTTCTTACGTTTCTTGGAGTCTCCAGATTTCCAGCCAAACATAGCTAAGAAGTATATCGACCAGAAGTTTGTACTTGCTGTGAGTCTGAGGTTTCTATCCTTCCCACAAACTAGCCGCACACACCCCTCACCTGTGTCCTGCCTACTTTTTCCCCTTATTTTGAATACACAGGGATTTCAGCTGTGTCTGATACAGGGCTCTCATGAATATGGGGGTAAAAAAAACTCAAGTCTAAGGAATTTCCAACGAAGTACCTCTCCCAACTCACTGGGTACGAACATGCATACTCAGATACCACTTTGGACAAAGCAGTATAATAAAAATCACTCTGCTTTTCAGAGACCTACCCTTACTCCCCAGAGAGCCTTGGGGCTTCCCCTGCCTAGGACCAATGACCCCAGCCTGTCTTCTCTAGGGGCTGCCTCATTCTTTGTCTTTCCTACCCTTCCTCCCAGCTTCTGGACCTGTTTGACAGTGAGGACCCTCGAGAGCGGGATTTTCTCAAGACCATTTTGCATCGCATCTATGGCAAGTTTCTGGGGCTCCGGGCTTATATTCGTAGGCAGATCAACCACATCTTCTACAGGTGAGGCAATGAGCACAGGCCTGGGAGCATAGTATGCCCCTGCTGAGGTGGGACAGGAGAAGGGAAGCAAGAGACTGCCAAATGCTGGAGGGGTGGTGTCGAGAGCCTTCTTTCCTTAGGTTCATTTATGAGACAGAACACCACAATGGGATCGCTGAGCTCCTGGAAATCCTGGGCAGGTGAGAGGTCGGGTAGGGGCAGAGATACCTGCAGAAGGTTGGAGGATTGGTACACTAAGCTTGGATCTTGGCTTTTGGTCCTAAAAACTTTCCTTAATTTCTAGCATCATCAATGGTTTTGCCCTGCCCCTTAAGGAAGAGCACAAGATGTTTCTTATCCGTGTCCTGCTTCCCCTTCACAAGGTCAAGTCCCTGAGTGTGTACCATCCTCAGGTAAGCTGCCTTTCTCCTAATGATCCCCAACCTGAATGTCAGGGACAAGGGGTACGGCAAGGTATTTCTACTTGGGTTGGGATGGCAGAGTGGGGCGGATAAATCCTCTATATCACCCCTTCTGTTCTGGGATCTTGTTTCTGTCACTGACCTTTGAGACCTTCTGGGACCTGCATCTCACTTTCTACCTCAACCTTTTGCAGTTGGCATACTGTGTGGTACAGTTCCTGGAGAAGGAGAGCAGTCTGACTGAGCCGGTAACTCCCCTTCTGGGCTCCAGGGTCCACCTCTTATTGTCATCAGCATTGCCTTCCAATCTTTAACTGTCATTTTTGTTTCTGTTATTTTCTGGTACTGGCCATCAGACCTAGGGCCTTGTACATCCCAGGCAAGGGCTTTGTTATTGAGCAGCACCCCCAACCCAAGCCTATGCCTGCTGAACAGTGCTATCAATGGGTGCTTAGAAGGCCCAAGGCCTGACAAGTGATGTGGTTTTTTCTCTCATGGGAAATAAGACCTATGTACCCAGGAAACAGAAACACGAGTAGTTAGCTGAGGGCACCCAAACAGTGCTAGGGTAGGAGTTGGGAGGGAGAGGGCGACAGGCTTCCCAGAGAACCAGAATTTTAGCCTTATGTCCCCTTCACAGGTGATTGTGGGACTTCTCAAGTTTTGGCCCAAGACCCACAGCCCCAAGGAGGTAATGTTCCTGAATGAGCTAGAGGAGATTCTGGATGTCATTGAACCCTCGGAGTTCAGCAAAGTGATGGAACCACTCTTCCGCCAGCTTGCCAAGTGTGTCTCCAGCCCCCATTTCCAAGTAAGACCCAGTCAGTATATCCCAGTCTGGGTTTGGGGAGCAGGTCTTGAGTGAGGCAGAATGCCCACATTGAATTCCACCTTTCCTCACCAGGTGGCAGAGCGTGCCCTCTATTACTGGAACAACGAGTATATCATGAGCCTGATCAGTGACAATGCTGCCCGAGTCCTCCCCATCATGTTTCCTGCACTCTACAGGAACTCCAAAAGCCACTGGAACAAGTAGGGCACTGGGGACCGGCTGCTGGGAGACTCTGGTTTTGGAACCTTTAAGGGGGAAAGAACTTGAGCCAGGGATCTCACCAGGTCACTCAGCAATGATAGTTGGAGCCCATTGTGTATTAATAAATAGGACTTGAGGGACTCCCTAGAGAGAAGATGCCATGAGCTATCTTTGCAGTACCAAACAGCAGAGCAGCAGCCTGCATCACATCACTCCTTCACGTCAGCCATTCTGTGGGTCATGCCACAGCCTTAGAGACAGGTTAAGCTGGAGGAAACTGAGTTCTAAAAAGGCTTTTCTTCTGAAAGCAAGCTCAGTGTGGTATAGGCATAGTCCTTCATGTCGCTGGGAAGCTCGAGCGTGGGGGGAGGGGTAGGTTAACACATGTGGGACCATGAAATGCCAATCTCAAGTCACATGATTTGGCTAGTTATTTGCTGATACTGTGTAGAGGTTTGTGAAAGGGTAGCAGCGAACATGAAGGCCTTCAGCAGAGATACCCAGAAACAAGCAAGTTGGGGTCCTGATGCTAATGGCCTCCTGTACATCATCCTTCTCTGGGTGGCAGGACAATCCACGGGCTGATCTACAACGCTCTCAAGCTGTTCATGGAAATGAATCAGAAGCTCTTTGATGACTGTACACAACAATACAAGGCAGAGAAGCAGAAGTGAGTATTCCTGGAGCTGGAGAGGTGGCTCAGTGGTTCAGAGTACTGGCTGCTCTTGCAGAGGACCTGGGTTCAGTTCCCAGCACCCACTGGCGGCTAACAACTATCTGTAACTCCAGTTCCAGGGAATCTGATGCCCTCTTCTGGCCTCTGTGGGCATTACATGACACAGATGTACTTCTATACATGCAGGCATTCATACACATAAAGTAAAAATAAATCAAAAAAAAAAAAAATTGAAGCCAGGCGTGGTGGCGCATGCCTTTAATCCCAGCATTTGGGAGACAGAGGCAGGCAGATCTCTGTGAGTTCCAGGCCAGCTGGGGCTACAGGGAGACCCTGTCTCAATACAAAAAAAAAAAAAAAATTGAAATAAGAGTGTCCCTGCTGGGTGTGGTGGCACACGCCTTTACTCCCAGCACTCCGGAGGCAGAGGCAGGCAGATCTCTGAGTTCAAGGCCAGCTTGGTCTACATAGTGAATTCAGGACAGCTGGAGCTATAGGGAGACCCTGTCTCAAAAAAAGTGAGTGTCCCTTGGTAGACTTATCTTCCTCCAGCTCACTACCCTCCCAAGCCCAACCCCAGTCCTACTGTCCCTCCCTCAGGGGCCGGTTTCGAATGAAGGAAAGAGAAGAGATGTGGCAGAAGATTGAGGAGCTGGCCAGGCTTAATCCCCAGGTGAGGGTTTTGAGGCTTTTTTTTTTTTTTGCCACTGCTTTGAACTCGGAGATCCATCTATAGTTGGGGAGAGATTTTGGAGGAAGAATGAGGCAGATGGGCCCCCAGGCTCCTGAAGTGGTTCTCACCATTGTCCATCCCTTTCCCTTTCAGTACCCTATGTTCCGAGCTCCTCCTCCACTGCCCCCTGTGTACTCTATGGAGACAGAGACCCCCACAGCAGAGGACATCCAGCTTCTGAAGAGGACGGTGGAGACAGAGGCTGTGCAGGTGAGAGGACATCAGGGCTAATGGTCAAGGCTTGGGACAGAAGGGAGGAGACCAGAGCGGCACAATCAAATAGAAAAGGAAACAGAATTTCTTGAGAATTGGTCACTGTTCCTCGCCTTCTCCTTATCCGCTCAGATGCTAAAGGACATCAAGAAGGAGAAAGTGCTGCTTCGGAGGAAGTCAGAGCTGCCACAGGACGTGTACACCATCAAGGCACTGGAGGCACACAAGCGGGCAGAAGAGTTCCTAACTGCCAGCCAGGAGGCTCTCTGACCCCCTCACCTTCCCACAGGGCTACAGCCCACTCAGCCCCTGGACGTGGCCCGGCCCTTCACCCTCTGCTCCTTTACTGGCTGACTTGGGACAAGGCAGCAACTCTCTGGCTACTCTAGAGGATGCAGGCACTGGAAGCGGGGGACACCCAGTGTGGTCCTTCTCCCCAAACTGAGTTCATGCCTCCCTGTGGCTAGTACAGACAGGCTGAGCACTGAGTGCTCAGTGCTTTGACAACCTGGGGATGCCTGTCCTCCTCCTGCTCCTAGTCCCACAGCTATCTGAGGTTGCTCTGAGAAATACACACACAGGAACCGTCTGTTCCTCTCCTCTCCCCATTCGTCTTCATCTGAACTCTTAGGTGTCTCTCTGTCCTACAGAGGGGAGCAGTAGGAGATTCTCACCAAAGTTATGTCAAACCCTCTTTGGCCCCTGGAGTCAGGAGCTGGAGGGGAGCCAACCCCCAGCAGCACAAATAGGCCCCAGCATTATGCAGATGGAAGGGGGTGTATTTCCTTTCACCCCTTGCCTGACCAAGATAACACAGGTCAACAGGAGGAAAGTATGTTATGGACACTAGATGAGTATAGGGTCCAGTGGACCAAGGGAGGGAGAGTGAACTACCCACCCTGTGCCCCTCTTTGGTGAGCAGCAGCCCTGGGATTACAAACATGGAAGGGACCACCCTATGGCTGACTGCTTTCTTGTGCTGTTGGTTCCCAAAGCTTTAAAGAAGGAAGCAGGGAGCAATGCCCGAAGCATGGCTCCTCCCAACACCTATTTTATTTCCTTGTTTGTGCCGAATCTGGGCAGGCCCTTACCTGTACCTTCTAGGCACATGGAGCAAGGGGCTGGGGAAGGCTGGACCAGGTTCCAGGGGCACAGGCAGCACGGCTTTTGGCTGTGTACATAGGGTGCTTTATTCTCCACAGTGATACATGCTAAGGTGGGTTGGGCTTGGGCCACTGTCCCCGTATGTACAGAACTGAATAAAGTGGGTCTCTGAGAGGTCTGATTTACCTTGATGTGAAAAGGGACATGGGAAGATGGAGATGGATGTTAAAACCAGAGGTGTGATCAGTCCTGTGTTGTTTCTGGCTTGGAACGTAGGGGAGATAAGGCAGCTCTCACTGTGGTCACTTCCAGGCAGGAGATGCCTGCCGGGCTTGGAGGGCTTTCTGTACCACATCTTCCCATTGAGCATCCGATATCTCCCGAGCCCAGGCAGGAACCCCTGGAGCAGGCAGGCTTACTCCAGCCATGGTCCTTTTGACCAGCTCTACGTGTTCTGAAAGCATAGCCAGAGGCCAGTGAGGGGCTGAAGACAAAGGGATCAGCTCCTCTCCCCATCCCTTCATCCCTTGAATCAACCCAGAACTCTTTTGACTCACGGGGTCACCAAATCCATTTTGTTAACACCCAACCCTGTCTTGCTCGTCCCAGGTCTAGACAAACAGCATTTCACCCCGACTTGAAGGCTTTGAAACCTTAGTTAACACACCCCCTTCTATGTTCTTCTGTAACTTAGTGGCTCAAGCCAGTCCATTTCCTTCATAATTACTCCAGAATGAAAGGATGATCTTTTTTTTTTTTTACCTGGGTCCATGGGAATAGAGCTGTGGATGCTCAACGCTGCAGCTCCCTCCTCATCTTCGTCCTCACTTTCCAGTGGCGGGTCTGGCAGATGAAGCCCCAGGGCCTGCAGAACCAGAGAGAGGATAATTCCCGTCCAGCCTTCTGGGAAGTTCGGCTTCGCCGCGGGAAGGATTCCCTCCACTGTACCTGGATTCGATCTTGGATGTCTGCAACTATGTCCTCTCCCTCGCCCACCGATGCCAGTTCCACCTCCTCTTGTTCAGGATCTTGGTTGAGGGGCTGATAGGAGTAGCCTGCCGGGCCTGCTCCGGTTTCTTCCTGCTCTTCCTCAGGTTCTTCGCTGCTCCAATCCCCGGTTCCTTCGGTAGGACCCTGATGTGGCCCCAGGTCCTCAGTCTGACTGGGGAAGATACGCTCAGGACCCATGGTGTCTCCCCCTAGAACGACTGCTGCCATCCGGGCAGGGGCTGCAAGAACAGAACCACAGGACAGGCTCTGGATGAAAGCAGGCCGACTTTCATCCTTTTAGCCAGCCACTTGCACTCTCCTATCGCGTCCGCCACACGAGCTTCTCTCACGGCTTCTGCATCGTTCTCCCCTCCCCCCACTCTCGTGCCTAGCCGTCTTAACTCGGTGTTCGAGCCCACCAGCCTGACTCTCCCCATTCCTCCATAACGGCCAACTGCAGGTCCAACAGGACACCCCTTCCTGAACCCCGACACTTCGCCACGCCCCTCGGAGACTTGGGAACTGGCCGTCCAAGAGACTCTGCCAGACCTGCGTCCCCGCCCCTCATCCCCTCCGCCCAGGGGACCCTCGGTACCGCCTTGCAAAAGCCCTTCAGGCCCAGGGGTGCCCCTCAATGACCCCAGCTGCAGCGTTCCCCACCGGCCCCCACTGATCCTTGGCGTTGGTGTTTCCTCGCGCCTCACCCTCTCAGAGCCCACGGCCCGATCCGCACCTTCACTTCCGGCGGGGCAGGACGCCCTAGAGCTCATAGGCCTCCAGCCCCGCCCCGTGCTCAACACTGACGCAAGCGAGGACGAGGAGTCCGCCTCTTGCCCCGCCTCCGCCATCCTGTGCCCGGACCACAAAGAACTACATTACCCGGTAACCCCCACGGATGCGCACAAGCCTCTCAGCGCCCGCCTACTCCTCTACGCTCACCACCCGGAGGAAACATTGTGGACTACAAGTCCCAGAAGGCGTCTGGCGCTGGACTACGACTGCACGTGCGCGTCCCTCTGCCCGCCGGAAGGACGGAGCCTGGCAGTGTTTATCTCGTTGGGGACGGAGGAATCGGTTGGCGCGCAACGGGTTCTAGGCTGCTGGCAGCGCGAGGACCCGCGGCCCCACCCCGGCCCGGCCTGGCAGGTAGCCTGGGATGCTTTGAGGGACGAGGAAGGAGGCTGGCGATTCCCAGGCCTGCTGCTGGCTTCGTGGGGGAGGGGCCTGGGAGTGATGAGGTGGGGGTGGGGAGGGAGCTAGGGGGATGCTGGGATAGAGGAGTGTTAATGGGCAGAGAAAGATTGAGAGAGAAGGGTCTGGAGTCGGGTGGGTGAGACCTGGTGGCTGGAGGAGGCGCTGGGAGAAACTGGAAGACTGCGTTCTGAGCATAATGGTAGGGAGAGGGGGCTGTGGCTGGGATTGTGGGGGAGGGGAGGCTGAGAGTGGGGAAAGAAACAGGAGTCAGATTCCGAGTCAGATCCGTGGCTGAAACGGAGCAAGAGCATTTTCTTTTCTTTTTTTTTTTTTTTTTCCTGTTCCCGCCATGGAGGTAGCAAAATGAGAGGGCTCTCCCTTGGATCTTGGAGTGGTGGGAGAAGGAAACAACGAGGAAACTGCAAAGCTCCCGGGAGATGAAGAAGAGAAGGGCCGCAAATGCAGTGACAGTTACAAGATCAGGGAGTGGAGGGTTGAAAATGCCATAGTGATGGAGGATGTTGGAGCCGCAGAGATGCTGTTCATCCCTGCTTCTTTGAGCTCCCCTTATGAAGAAGAGATTCTTTATCTTTGACTAGAATTACTTATCTCATCTGTATGCAGTTTTTATTCCGCCTGAACCTACTTTGAAGGGAGGGTAGAGGTGAGGGAAGCTAGAACTCCCATGCTTAAAGCTCTCGGATCTCCTCTCTCCACAAGCCCAAATCTGAGATCTTCTGAACTGGGAGCTGGAACAATGAAGTGACAGTAGCTTATGTCTGCTGCTATATTGGGTTGGGCAGGGGTGGCTATTTAAAGCCTACAATATGGGGTTGGGGGAGGCTGGGTGGGTAGGACTGGCGAGCCAATCTCTCTGCAAGGGGGACTTCTCTTTATTTATTTATTTATTTATTTATATTTATTTATTTATTTATTTATTTTTATTCTCCCTTGAGGTTCTGCTTATTTTTCTCTCAGCAAAGACTTTTTGAATGGGGAGCAGATGATCTGCCCAGACCTAGCAGGTGTCTGTCGCTGGCAAAGGCATTACCAGTGGCAAGAGGATTTGTTTGAAAGAGCCCTCAAATGTACATGTTGTCACTAAGCTGACAGGCTGTCTCTAAGACACCACGACCCTGTCATGCTTGGGGCTTTCTCTTGTTCTGCCCAAGGGCATTTTTGCTCCCCTTCCTCTTACTCAAGTGAAACCCCCCCCCACTCCCACTCCATCCCTGCTCCGGAGACTCAAAGAGGGCAAGAGCTGCTGGAAATAGCTTGTTCTCTAACACAATAGCAGGGTTGGGGAAGTGACCAGAGGAGAAGAGCCCTCTTCCCTACCCCCAACCCTCAGTACACACATACCTTTCTGGCTTAAGTTTCTAGTCCTGGCAGCATATGAGGCACAGCTGTCAGAGGAACTCCTTGTGCCTGTGGGTGCCCTGGGTGACCCCAGGGACAACGGATCAGCTTGACAAGAACTCCCTGTGAGGGGCTAATCAACCATGATTACATGGAGTTGCCTATCCTAGGTAGGGACACTGTTCCACTCTAAAAGCCTAAAAGCTTTTTTGCTTTAAAGCACCCATGCCAGCTTTCATTGAACTGTCTGGAGCTGGCTGGGCTATTAATAGCTGTGAGTATTTTGAGCTCTCTACCTTTAAAGAGTTGGAGGGAGATCCTTAGAGAGGTGGCTGTAAGCAGAGCAGGGCAAGAAGCAAGAACACACCCAGCCTGGGAAGGGGGCTTGGCCTTGTTCCAAGCTAGGGACAGGGTGGAGCTTCCATGAGTAGGGGGCACCATGATCACCAGATTCTGAGCTGGCAAGCAGGTTGAGGTGGCCCCACCCTTCACTGTGGGTGAACACAGAGCCAGGGCTAGCTCCTTGACCTCTGCAGCTCCCCTGGGGCAGGGCCAGCCACCTGAGCCGTGACTAGTGTCCCTGTGGAGGGGTAGTGGTGTGGGAGGGCCATTAGGGTGATACTTAGAGGCAAGGACTGGTCCTGGGTAGCCACAGTAAGCTGGGCAAAAGCCTTGCCTGAGGAACCTGTGGCCCTGATTTGTGTACAGGTAACAGAGGCGGCAGGCCGTGCCGGGGGGGCATGTTCCTGTAACCTGTGATCCAGGGGATGTTACGGTGGACAGTACATCTGGAGGGCGGGCCACGCAGGGTGAACCATGCTGCTGTGGCTGTTGGACACCGAGTATACTCCTTCGGGGGTTACTGCTCTGGTGAAGACTATGAGACACTACGGCAGATAGATGTGCACATTTTCAATGCAGGTAACCCAGTGCTGGCACCTTCCCTGGAAGTAGATCAGGGGAGAGAGTGGGCACCTGATAAAGTTCAGTGGTGGTCTTTGTGGCCAGGGGGATTGGGGGTGGAGATCTGGTTTGGGAAGAGGTGGATAGCCTGGAGGGAGCTTCCCAGAGCTGAGCAGAGCTGTGCCCACAGTGTCCTTGCGTTGGACAAAGCTGCCCCCAGTGAGGCCCACGGTCCGTGGGCAGGCTCCTATTGTACCCTACATGCGGTATGGACACTCTACCGTCCTCATCGATGACACAGTCTTCCTTTGGGGTGGGCGCAACGACACTGAAGGGGCCTGCAATGTACTCTACGCCTTTGATGTCAGTGAGTATGGGTCTCAATGATGTCTTGGGCCTGGGAAAGCTGTGGTTGGGGTTGCTGGGAATTAGAGAAGGCTAGAGTTGAGGGTGCATCAGTTGACCTGGGTCATTCTTTTTCTTCTTTTAGATACTCACAAGTGGTCTACACCCCGAGTGTCAGGAACAGTTCCTGGGGCCCGGGATGGCCATTCAGCTTGTGTCCTGGGCAAAATCATGTACATATTTGGGGGCTACGAGCAGCTGGTAAGTATTGGAAGAAGCTAGAGTTTGAGTGTAATAGTGAGAAAAAGGAAGGAGGATTTAGCATGGTGGAACAGGAGGCTTTGGCTGATTTGTAGGTTTTCTGTTTGTTTTTGTTTTTTGGGGTTTTTTTTGGGACAGGGTCTCCCTGTAGCTCCAGCTGGCCTAGAACTCCTAGAACTCACTATGTAGACAACCAGGCTGACCTTGAACTCAGAGAGATCCGCCTGCCTCTGTGCCTGGCTAGTTTGTTTGTTTTGAAGGGAAGAATAGAGAGTCAAGGAAGAGCCATTAACCCCTCCCTTTCTTCTTTTCTCTCCTTACTCAGGCAGACTGCTTTTCCAACGACATTCACAAGCTGGATACCAGCAGCATGACATGGACCCTTGTTTGCACTAAGGTCTGCCCTTTCTTCTGCCAGATCCCCACCTTTCACTGAAGAAATCCTAGGACACTTAGTGAGCTTCCCCTCCCCGAGTCCATGCTGACTCCCTCCCCCATCTCTCTGCTTCTGGCCAGGGCAACCCTGCACGCTGGAGGGACTTCCACTCAGCCACGATACTGGACAATCGCATGTATGTCTTTGGAGGCCGTGCTGACCGCTTTGGGCCGTTTCATTCCAACAATGAGATTTACTGCAACCGCATTCGAGTCTTTGACACCAGAACTGAGGCCTGGCTTGATTGCCCACCCACTCCCGTGCTGCCTGAGGGGCGCAGGAGCCACTCTGCCTGTGAATGTTCATTTTTTTCTCTCTCTCTTTTTTTTTTTTTTTTTAACTAATTTTATGTGTATGAGTGTATTGCCTGTATATATGTAAGTGCACCTGTGTTGTGCTTGTGGAGTTCAGAAGAGGAATTGGATCCCTTGGAACTGGAGTTATAGGTGACTGTTAGATCCATATGGGTGCTGGGAACCAAACCCAGGTCCTCTACGAGCAACCAGTGCTCTTTAACTGCTGGGCCATCTCTCCAGCCCCGAGGTGCCATTATTTCCTTGTGGGGTTCCCTGTTCTGTCTCACTCATACACTCATACTCCATGTGTCCTTCCAGTTGGCTACCCTGGGGAGTTGTACATCTTTTTAAAAAAAAAAAATACTATCTTTATTTTATGTGTATGAGTGTGTTCCCTGCATGTATGTAAGTGTATCCATGTTGTGCAATGCCCACAGAGGTCAAAAGAGGGCATTTGGATTCTCCTGGAACTTCAGTTATAGATCATTGTTAGCTGCCATGTGGGTGCTAGGAATCGAGCCCAGGTCTTCTGCAAAAGCATCCAGTGCTCTTAACTCCTGAGCTATCTCTCCAGCCCCTGAGTTGTACATCTTTGGTGACTGTAATGCAAGGCTGAATCAACAAGTGTCTGTTTTCCTGTAGAGTTCCCTGTCCTGTCCTCCCCATTCTTGACATTCTTCTGTCCTTCTAGTTGGCTACAATGGGGAGCTGTACATCTTTGGTGGCTATAACGCAAGGCTGAACCGGCACTTTCATGACCTCTGGAAGTTTAACCCTGGTAAAGAGCATTATGTTTAGGGGAGGGACAAAGAAGCAGTGGAGTTGGGAGGAGAATAATAATCCTGAGTAGGTGAGGGGCTGGGATGGGATGTGTGTGAGGATGGCTAGGTTAGGTAGGCATTGAACTTGTCTAAACTTCTCTTTAGCATCCTTTACCTGGAAAAAGATTGAACCAAAGGGGAAAGGGCCATGTCCTCGCCGGCGCCAGTGTTGCTGTATTGTCGGTGACAAGATTGTCCTCTTTGGGGGTACCAGGTTAGGAGGAGGGAGGGGGAGGCAGAAAAGGCCTAAGTTTGTAACTAAGAGAAGAGTGGGGGGTATCTGAGCAAGGGTCGTGTGGGTGGTATTACCCCCTACTGCTGTCTTTTGATCCCTACAGCCCATCTCCTGAGGAAGGCCTGGGAGATGAGTTTGACCTCATAGATCATTCTGACTTACACATTTTGGACTTTAGTAAGTACTTATTTCTGAAATGCTCCTGCTATCAGGCTCCCTGTCTCTGGGTGGTGCTAACCAGGACTGGGACTGTTACTCTCCTCTGACCTTCCCTTCTCTAACTCTTCTCTTAAAGGCCCGAGTCTGAAGACTCTATGCAAACTGGCTGTGATTCAGCATAACTTGGACCAGTCCTGTTTGCCCCATGACATCAGGTAAGTAGGCTGGTTGCAGAGGAAGGATTGATTGGGGGGATGAGTGGTGAGCACAGGAATCAGCTTTTTTTTTTTTTTTCTCTTTTTTGGTCTTTTTTGAGACAGGGTCCCCCTATAGCCCTACCTGGCCTGGATTCGCTATGGAGACCAGGCTGGCCTCAAATTTACAGAGATCTGCCCGCCTCTGCCTCCCAAGTGCTGGGATTAAAAGTGTGTGCCACCACGCCTGGCAGAATCATCCATTTTTATCTTGCTTGAAGTATAATTTTTGTGCGGACCATGATGGAAGGGGGAGGTAAAAGCACAGCTACCATTTAACAAAATTGTCCACGGGATAAATTGTATGAAGAAAACCCCGAATTATTTGAACCAGAAGCATCACTTCCTTGTATTGGTCAGTATGTTGAGAATGAGTAATTAAACTTCAGGACTAACCTCAGAGTAAAGACAAGTTTAAGAGCCTGTGGACTATCTTAGTTCTAGAGTTGAGGGAGGTCCTGGCACATTGCCTTTGAATTCAAGTCTTGAATTCAAGTCAAGCAGCAGAGGTTACTTTTGTGTATCATTTTATGCTTCTTGGTCATTCTGAGACAGCTCCCTTTCCTCAAGCCAGTTCATTTTAACTCTTGCTTGCTTGAAGGTCTGTGTGTCCACTTTTTGGTGACACAGATCATACAGGCTATACTGATGAATCCAAGGCTGACCCAGGATTGACACATGTGCAAGTACCTAATACCAAGTAGATTGCTTAGAGTCTTAGCATAAGGTGGTACTTAGTAAATCTTTGTAGAAGGAAAGAATTGTTGAAAAAAGAGTAATTGAATGTGTTAGGGTGGGTGGGACAGGTCTCAGGGAGGACAGAAGGCCTGAGTCAGGACCTTAAAAGAATAGGAATTGGCAGCAAGAATGGGTGTTCTGATGGGGTTGAGGTGGAAGGGCCACCTTGTTGGATCTAAGCAGAGGAAGGTATGCTGGGGTGTTTACTGAGATGGGTACACATGATCCAAGTGTTTGGATTCAGGAATATATGCATAAACATAAACAGGATATCCACATGAGCTTGGAGGGGGAAGAGTGGGTGGTGTTGGATTTGGTGGTGGGTAGGGTCTCGTTCAACCCAAAAAGGCTGTAAGGAAGAGGGTGAAGAGACTGGGGTGCCAACTACTCTTCTGTCTTTTCTGTCTATTGTTGGCCTCCAGGTGGGAGCTCAATGCCATGACCACCAACAGCAATATCAGCCGCCCCATCGTCTCCTCCCATGGATAGGAGGAAGTTTTCTGCCACCTCCCCTCCTGAGCCTGCTCTTATCTTCACTGCCCCTGTCCATCTCTCACCTGCCTGCCCCTTTGGACCCTGGACTCAGTATACCTCCATGTGGAGTTGTTCGACTAGAGGTGTTTTCTGTGCTGTGAATTCAGTGGGGAGTTGCAGGGGGGGAGGGCCATGTCCCTCCTCCCTTGGGCCGAGGGCCCCTTCCCCTTGGTGCTCTGTTCCCATCGACCTTCCTCTGACTGCTCCTGAGCCTCTGCTCGGCCCCAGCCAGTCAGGTTGCCAAGCTCTGCTGGAAAGGAACGCAGTGGGGAGAAGGAGATGCAGGCAGTGTCTGAGCCTCAGGAGCTTCCCTCTCCCCATGCCTACCCCCTCCCCTGCTTGAGCCTTGAGCACCCACTGGGATCAGAGAGAAGACACTGCTGTTGGCTTCAAACAGCCTTCTCTCCCCATCCTGGGGAGGCAGGGACCAGCAGATGGTTTCACTCTTCCTTGAGCTGTTGCTGTACCCTGAAACTCAGCCAGTTCAGATTTTATAAAAAGTAAAACCTGGAAACCTGTTGTGTGTTTGTGGAGTTGGCAGTGGGGCTGTGTGCTGAGGATGCCTGCCCTTGGGGTTCTGGCTTCCAGCCAAGAGTATTAAGCTAATACTGGGGCCAGGCCTGGTGGTACAGGCCTTTGATCCCAGCACTTGGGAGGCAGAGGCAGGTGGATCTCTCTGAGTTTGGACCAGTCTGGTTTACATAGCGAGTTCCAGGCCAACTGGGGCTATAGGGAGACCCTATCTTAAAAAGACCAAAAAAGTCGGGTGCGGTGGTACACGCCTGTAGTCCCAGCACGTGGGAGGCACAGGAAGGTGGATTTTTATTACATTAAAAAGGCAATAAAGGTTGGGCGTGGTAGTGCATGCCTGTAGTCCCAGCACTGGGGAGGCAGAGGCAGGTGGAGCTCTGTGAGTTCAAGGCCAGCCTGGTCTACATAGTGAGTTCCAGGACAGCTGGGACTACAGGGAGACCCTGCTTCAAAGACAAAAAAAAAAAAAAAAAGCAGGGCGTGGTGGCGCAGGTAACCCCAGCACTCAGGAGGCAGAGGCAGATGGATCTCTGTGAGTTTGAAAGGCCAGCCTGGTCTCCATACCGAATCCAGGCCAGCTGGGGCTACAAGGAGACCCTGTCTCAAAAAGAAAAAGAAAAAAAAAAAAAAAACCCGAATGCTCCAGGTGTGTATCTGGCTCTGGAGGCTCCAGCACTCGGGAGGCAGAGACAGCCAAATCGCTGAGTTCCAGGCCAGCCTGGGCTACAGGGAGACCCTGACTCAGAAAAAGCCGGTGCCGGTGCCACCAATCCTGGCCTTGGGCAGTGCAGATCACCCCCCCCCCCCCAAATAGAACACTTCCAGCAAGTTGGGCAGCATTTGCGCTCAGGCCTCGGAAACGGCGGAAGGGGCGGGGCTGGAGCCGAGAGCAGGAAGTGATACATCCTCTGGTCTCTGGTCTTGCGGTGCGGATGCCGAAAGCCGTGCTGCGCGCTGCGCCGGGTGGTCCAGGTGGAGCCATGGAGCCCGGCGACCTGCCGAGGGGTGAGGACTCGGGCGAGGTGGAGGGGGTCGCGGCTCCTGGCCCGCCGGGCTCAATTCCTGAAAACCTCGGAGGTCGCGGAAGAGACCGGTGCGCAGCTCCGCGGAGGGAGAGGGAGTGCTTCCGGGATGCACTGTCTGGGAAGTTGTTTTTTGTTTTTTTGTTTTAATGATTTCTTTTATGTGTATGGATGTGTTGCCTGCGTGTAAGTAAGTACACCCATGTCCTGCAATGACCGCGGAGGTCAGAAGGCATCGGATCCCCTGGAACTAGAGTAGTGGAAGGCTGTTAGCCGCCATGTGAATGCTGGGAACTGAACCCAGGTCCTCTGCAAGAGCAGCCAGTCCTCTTAACCGCTGGGTCATACCCCCCAGCCCCAATTTCTTTGGTTTTTGCTGTTGTTGTTATTTTGTTTTCGAGGCAGTCTTTAGGCAGTCCAGGCTTGAGCCCCAACACCTAGCCTGGGCAGTTTGTTAAAGGTAAGATGAAGGTCCGGGTCTGGAGAGATGTCTCAGCTGTTAAGAACGCTGGTTATTCTTGCAGAAGACCCAGGTTCGAATCCCAGCACCCACATGGCAGCTAACAACTGTCCGTAACCCCAGTTCCAGGGGATCTGACAGCCTTTTCTGTCCTCCACAGGCATTGCACAACATGGGTGCACTTACCTACATGCAGGCAATACATGCATACACATAAAAATAATATTTTATAAAAGAGTATACACATTAAAAAAAAAAAATGAAGGTCCAAGAAGGTTTAGTGGGGATGCAATAAATAGAACATTTATTAAGGTGTATGCAAGCAGTTACAGGTGCTGGAGATGAATAATCAAACAGTAGGGCAAACACTTCATCCTCTTGCCACCTACTTTAAGAGAAAGGTAGCTTTGGCCAGGCGCGGTGGTGCCCACCTTTTATCCCAGCACTGGGGAGGCAGAGGCAGGTGGATCTCTGTGAGTTCAAGGCCAGCCTGGTCTACATAATAAGTTCCAGGACAGCTGGGGCTACAGGGAGACCCTGCTTAAAAAAAAAAAAAAAAAAGGCAATAAAACTAAAAGTATACTTTGAAAGGGTAATTTTTACGGGTATGTGGACTATACCTTTAAAAAGTTTTTTTCAAAAAGGGTAATAAAGGCTATGGAGAGAGCAGAGGGAAAGGCTGCAGATGAAGGGGGCTAGAGAGACGGCTCAGTGGTTAAGAGCACCAACTACTCTTGTAAGACCTGGGTTCAATTCCTAGGATCCACATGGTGACTAACAACCATCTGTAACTCCAGTTCCAGGAGGTCCAATGCTCTCTTCTGACCTCCGAGGGCATCATACGACATGGGTGCAGGCAATATATTCATATACATAAAATAAAAATAATAAATAAAATATTAAGTAAGATGGAGAAGGCCTCACTGGGAAGGTGACATTTAAGTGAAAGCTGGAAGGAGGTGAAGGGGCAGCAGTACATAGGCCTCGAGAGAAGTGTACCAAGTAGGGACTGTCAAGGGACCAGTTGACCTGGACAAGCCAAATGAGAAGGAGCTGAAGAGACATTATAGGAGGGCATTATAAGCATATGGCTTAAGAAAAATAAAAAAAAGCCTGGGCTTGGTGGGCCACACCTTTAATCGTAGCACTCTGGAGGCAGACGCAACCTGATCTCTTGAGTTTGAGAAATGCTGAACACTGGAACCAAGACCTTGGTCATGGTATCAGGGTGGGCACAGAGACCTGTCAAGTATCTAAAAGAGGGTGAAGAAAGGGGCCTGTGACTTGATTGGCCTGACTCTATACACTTTTTTTTTTTTTTTTTGTCTTTTTGAGACAGGGTCTCCCTGTAGCCCCAGAAGACCTGGAACTTACTATGTAGACTAGGCTGGACTTGAACTCAAAGAGATCAACCTGCCTCTGCCTCCCAGGTGCTGGGATTAAAGGCATGTGCCACCACTCCCAGCTCTATACACCTTTCTTAAGAACCTGAGATCCTGGGGCTGAAGAGATGGCTCAGGGGTTGAGACCACTGGCTGTTTTTACAGGGGACCCAAGTTTGATCCCCAGCACCTATATAGTGGCTAACTACTCTCTGTAACTCCAGTTCCATGGGAATCCAATGCCCTCTTCTGACCTCCATGGGTAGTGCATAAACATGGGTGCACTTAAATACATGTAGGCAAACATTCATGCACATAAAACAAAAATAAAATATTTTCTAAAAAAAAAAAAAAGATGAGATCCTTGGACTAGAGAGATGACTCAGCAGGTAAGAGCACTGGCTGTTTTTTGTTTTTTTTTTTAATTTTTACAAAAACTTTATTGAAAATTTCATACATGTATATAAGGTGTTTTGATCAAATACCTTGCCCAGTCCCTCCCTTCCAACATTCCCCCCTCTGAAGAGGTAACCCTAAAATCTTTTAAGGATTAGATACAAGCTCCCAAAGACTTTCACATTTTTGGCCTTTGGAACAGAGTATATTGCTAACAGACCCAGGGACATTTTGACTTTTAGTCAAGAAACTGGCTACATTTCTTTGGGGTCTTTTTACCCTAACTGCCTAGCCAGTTCCTACCTCCTGTTCTTATCACACCATCCTCTGAAGGGGTTGCCCAAATTGCCAATAGGGAATAGGGACACCGACCAAAGAGCACTGGCTGCTCTTTAGAGGACCCTCTTTTGGTTCTCAGCACCTACATGGTAGCTAACAATGGTCTGAAACTCAAGTTCCAGGGAATCCAATGCCCTCTTCAGGCATTGCACGTTATGGGTGCACTTACATACATGCAGACGTAACACCACTCATCATACACATAAAATGTACATAAAATATAGATAAATAATGAATTTAAAAAGATGAAATCCTAGGTGACTGAAACAGTTGGGAAGTTAGGTGTTAGCATAGTACCATTATATCCTATGCTGCCTTGCACTAGTCCTAATGATTAATGTGGTGGGGATGTTGGGAATGACGTGGTCCTTTCTATTTTGTATGTGTGTTTGTACACGTGTGTACGTGCCACCATGGTGAGGATGCTCCGAGGGCAGCCTGTGGGGGCTGGCTCTCTTCTACCATGTGTGCTCTGGTGCTCAAATGCAGGTGGTTAGGCTTGGCCACGTTGAACCACCTTGGCCCAAGGAGGTCTTCTCCGCAGTGGGAGGTGCTGAACTGAGTTGCCTGACCTTTCTCTCCTCCCTCCTTCTGCAGACACATCTGACATGTCATTTGAGGAGCTGTTAGAATTGCAGAGCCAAGTGGGAACCAAGGCATACAAACAATTGGTCACTGGAAACAGCATTAAGAGGCAAAGCTCTAGACAACCTGTGTGTGTTGCAGATAAGCACAGGTGGGGAGCAAGGCCTGCACTGGGGGTTGGAAGATACCTAGGACCTTGACTAAGTGTCTGCTTTCTTGGGAGACAAGTGGAATGTCTTCAACCAAGACTGGAGTCCACTTATCCGGACCTTTCATTTCTCCTTAGGCCTCTGGAAATGTCAGCCAAAGTCCGAGTACCATTCTTACGCCAGGTTGTTCCCATCAGTAAAAAGGTAAGGGAGAGGCAGGGAGCACTTTCTTGAAGAAAGGAGACTCAACAGTGCATCTTATATTCTTTCTACTCTTTCCAAAGGTGGCCCGGGACCCCCGCTTTGATGACCTGTCAGGGGAATATAATCCTGAGGTGTTTGACAAAACTTATCAGTTCTTGAATGATATTCGAGCCAAAGAGAAAGAGGTATGTAGCAAGAGACTGCTGTTTGCAGATCCTTGGGGGTGGAAAACCAGGGCACATGTGGGACAGTAAGAAGGTGGGCAATGGGAAGCATACTGGTGGGCAGATCTTACTCTGTTATTTGGCTCATCAACTTTGTAGCTGCATGATCATCAAGCTACTTTTCCTTTGCTTCAGTTGTCTGTTTATTTTATGTGCATGAGTGTATTGCTTATAGTAGGTGCACCTGTGTCGTACGTGGCTGGGAAGGTCAGAAGGGGTGTTAGATCCCCTGGAACTGGACTTTAGGGATTATTGTTGGCCACCATGTGGGTGCTAGTAATTGAACCCAGGTCCTCTACAAGAGCAGCCAGTGCTCTTAACTGCTGGGCCATCACTTTAGCCCCCAGTTGGTTTTTTTTTGTTTTTTTTTTTTTAATTAATGTCTAAATCAATACATAGTAACTACTAATATTTATTGCATAGTGTGGCATTTCAGTAAATTATTTCAGTATGTAATGGTCCAGGTAATTGCCATGTCTATCACCTATAACATACATAGTCAAAATCCTCTCTACCTGTTAACATGACTCCAGCTACTTGGGAAGTGAAGCAGGAGGGTGGATAATTTGAGGCCACCCTGGGCAGTGAGATTTCATCCCCCCACCTTCAAAAAAAGGAACAAACAAAAAATATATCTAACTGCTCCTCAACCATAGTTACCATAGTGTGCTAGCTAACCTTAGAAGTCATCTGTCTATGGAGGCTGGAGAGATGGCTCAGCGGTTAAGGGCACTGACTGCTCTTGGAGAGGACCTGGATTCAATTCCCAGCACCTACATGGTAGCTACGAACCATCCTTAACTCCAGTTCCAGGGGAATCCGAAGCCCTCTTCTGACCTCCACGGCATTGCACGACACAGGTGCACTCGCATGCAGGCAATACACTCATACACATTTAAAAAAAAACAAAAAAAAAGATAAAATATTTTTAAAAAAGAAGTCATCCATCCTATGCAGCTGTACCTCTGCATCTGTTCACCATTTATTCTCTGCCCACCCTGCCCTCCCCACTGCCCTTCCCAGGCTCTGTTACTCACTCTTCCATATTATATGTCTTTGAGATAAACTACTGCTCCTACATATGACATAGTATCATGTCTTTCTGTGTCTGACTGATTTCACTTAACATAGTGTTGCTTCTGAATTTTTTTTTACTCTTTTAGTCTGTGTGGGGGGCGGGTGTGTGTGTGTGTGTAGATGTGTAGGTGTGGGGGTATGCATGTGCCACCCCAAGTGTATAGAAGTTAGAGGACAGCTTTCATGTATTGGTTCTCTCCTTCAACCTTATGGTCTCAGGGATTCTACTCAAGTTATTGCCCTACTTTAGTTTTTTTTTTTTAAAATATTTATTATTTTTATTTTATGTATATGAGTGTATTGCCTGCTTGTATGTGAGTGCACCCATGTCATGCAATGCCGCGGAGGTCAGAAGGCGGCTTCGGATTCCCCTGGAACTGGAGTTAAGGATGGTTTGTAGCCACCATGTGGGTGCTGGGAGTTGAACCCAGGTCCCCTGCAAGAGCAGTCAGTGCTCTTAACCACTGAGCCATCTCTCTAGCCCCACCCCCTTTTTTTTTAAAACTTACTTTAATCTTTTAATCATGAAAAGGATAGTAAGGGTTAAGGAAATGGCTCCGTGCATAAGAGTGCTTGCTGCACAAGCATGAAGACCTGAGTTCAAATCCCCAGAACCCAGATAAAAAGCTAGGCATGAGAACTAAGTATAGTGGTGCATGCCTTTAATCCTAGTATTCTAGTACGCAAGAGGCAGAGGCAGGAGAATCTCTGAGTTTGAGCCCAGCCTGGGCTACATAGTGAGCTCTAGGCTAACCAGCACTACACAGTGAGACTGTCACAGCAAAAAAAAAAAAGCACACACACTCACACAAAAATGAATAATTTTTAAGAAGAAAAGGATGGGGCTGGAGAGATGCCTCATTCTTGCAGAGGACTCAAGTTTAGTTCCCAGCACCCACATGGCAGGTAACAACTGCCTTTAACTCCAGTTGCAGGGGATCTAACATCCTCTTCTGGCCTCCTCAGGCATTGTGTGTATGTGTGCACTTACATTCATGCAAGCAAAACATTCATACATGTAATGTAAAAATAAAATTTAATTTTAAAAAAAGGATAAGGGCGGGGGCTCTAGTTCAGCATGGCAGTATGTGCTGGCACACAACCTCGGTGGCATCTAGTGCATGTTAACAATCCTATTCACCTTTCTTCCATGGAGCTTGTGAAGAAGCAGTTGAAAAAGCACCGCTCAGGGGAGGCACATGAGAAGCTGCAACAGCTGCTTCAGCGGATGGTGAGTGGGTAATGGTCACAGGAGGGTGGTGAGGGCAGTTGAAGGCAGGTGCTTCATATTTCCTCCCATTCCCCCATCCCGCCCCATCTCACCTTTGCTCAGGAACAGCAAGAAATGGCACAACAGGAGCGAAAGCAGCAGCAGGAGCAGCGCCTAGCCTTGAAGCAGGAGCGGCGGGCTCTGGCCCAAGAGGGCCATCGGCCATACTTCCTGAAGAAATGTGAGTGGGAGCCCAGGTCTTGCAGGCCTGTCAGAGAGGCAGGCCTTTGTAGCAGGGTGTGGCAATGGAGTCCATGAGCTCCTTTAAGATCCTGAGCTAACTTGGAGAAATGTAGAAGTGTAGGGAAGTGTTATTGTAATCTGTTTTAGATTATGTTGAGGGGACTGGGATGCAGCTCAGTTGGTAGAGTGCTGTGTTGGTGAAGCTCTGAGTTTGACACCAGCCCTGTATAGAGTAGGCATGGTGGTACATGCCTATAATGCCAGCATTTGGGGTTGGAGGTAAGAGGATCAGAAGTTGAAGGTCCACTCGGGAGGTAGAGGCAGGCAGGTCTCTGTGAGATCTAGGCCAGCCTGGTCTCCATAGCGAATCCAGGCCAGCTGGGGCTACAGGGAGACCCTGTCTCAAAAAAAAAAAAAAGTTGAGGGTCAGCCTCTGATTCAAAGAGAGTTGGAGGCCGGTCTGGACTAGAGTTGCTATCTTGAAAAAAACAGTCAGGGATTGCCATTTTTATCTCTTCTCCCTGTTCTCTCTTATATGCCTAGCCAGGCACACAGAAGGAGCTCACACTTGGTTCAGTTGGGCAAGATTGGAGTGACAGGAAAAAGTTATCTGAGGCTGGGAACATGTTACAGTCAGTGGTGGAACACTTGCCAAGCACGTGCAAAGCCCTGAACTCAGTATCTAGCACTGAAGGAAAAATAGAAGCGGGCTTGTTGGGTTGGGGCTGTAGCTCAGTAGTAGAGCTCTTGCCTAGTATCCCTGAAGCCTGAGTTCAGTCCCCAGCACCAGCACACAGAACACAGTTGGCTTGCCTGTCACACACCAGGGAACTCCAAACATGTTCCAGCCTAATGCGTTACTGACGTGGGAATGAGAAATAAAGTCTTCATCTTTGGCTCACCAGCTTCCTTTCCTCTTGTCTAGCTGAGCAGCGTCAGTTGGCCCTGGCTGAGAAGTTCAAGGAGCTGAAGCGCAGCAAGAAACTGGATAGTTTCTTGAGTCGAAAGAGGCGACGAAATGCTGGCAAGGACAGGAGACATCTCCCTTTGAGCAAAGAGTAATGAGGACCTGTCTCTGTCTGCCACTGTCCCAGGGAGGCCTGGATCTGCAGGGCAGGCTTGGGGTCAGCCAGTTCTGATGGTTTTCCGTTCAGTGGCAAGAATCACAGCTGCCCTTTCTCGAGGTTGTCTTGGGAAACTTAGAGGGCTCTTGGACTCTTCCTAGGAATGCACAAGAATTTGAGCTCAGCCTTCCATCATGTCACTGCCTCTGCTCAGATCTGATTCTTATGTCCTTGTGTCTTCCATCCTTGAGACAGAAGAAAAGGGACCTGGAGGAGTCTGTCCATGGTTCCAGGGCTCACCAGTATTCTTGGTACTCATCTTTTTATTGCTTTTTTTTTTTTTTTTTTTTTAATTCTGGGGGTGTTTTGTTTTTTTTTTCCCTTTAAGATTTATTTTTAAATCTGGATGTGGTGGTACACACCTTTAATCCCAGCATTCAGGAGGCAGAGGCAGGTGCATCTCTGAGATCAAGGCTAGCCTGGTCTACAAATGCATTCCAGGACAGCCCTGGCTCTAGGGAGACCCTGTCTCAAAAGACAAAAAAAAATTACTTTTAAAAAGTATATGTGTGTGTCTGTGCATGGGTATGTGCATTGTATTCCTTGGAGCTGGAATTACAGGTAATTGTGAGCTGCCCAACATGGGTGTTGGCAACCAAACTCAGGTCCTCTGCAAGAAGAGTATGCAGCTTAACTGATGAGCCATCTCTCCAGTCCCTAGGACTTGTTTTGTTTTGTTTTGTATTTAAGTTTTTGTTTATCTTGAATGTATTTTATGTGTACAAGTGTTTTGCCTGCATGTATGTAAGTGCACCTTGTATGTTCCATGCCTGTGGAGGCCAGAAGAGGGCATTGGATCCCCTAGAATTGGAATTACGCATGCGTTGTTAGCCATCATGTAGGTGCTGGGAACAGAACCTTGATCCTCTGCAAAAATAGCCAGTGTTCTTCATTGCTGAGCTGTCCCTCCAGTGTTTGTTTGGATGGATGGGAGACCTAGAAGTGCTGTAGCTGGTCATGTATGAGAGCAAGAAATGAGGTATAAGTCTTGTAGAGTGGGAATTCAGATCATGGAGTACTTAAATTTGGGCCCAGAAAAGATGCCTAAAGGGTGAACCTGTCCCACAATCATTTGGCTGTTGATGTGATAGAAAGTGGGAGGTGTATATTAGTCAACTTCTGAGTGTATGTACCCAAGAAAAGTCTTCATTCCATGGTTGTTTGCCTCTGTGGCTTGCTTTTTAGTGGGATTATATGATGTCACGCCCAGCCTTCTTGGGACATTTTGTATAAATTGAATCAGTATGTAGTAGTGTGTACGTGTACTCCTCTTTTATGGCATAGAATAGATTTTCTTCAGTTGATATTTTTAGGCTAAAGATAACTAACCAACAGAGGATTTGGGTTGGTTTTTTGGTTTGTGTGGACTTGACTAGTCTTGACAAGCCAAACTCCCAGATCAGCTGTAGGGATGTAAGGAATTGTAGTGTTGAGGGTGGCCTCACTAGGAGGTCAGGGTGACAGACTTCTGCCCCCTGAGTTATCATTAGTGAAACTACCTGTCTGCCTTCTGGGAATGGATGATAAAGGGGGAGAAGCTCATGTCCTGGTGCTGGGAAGGAGCATGGACTGTCCATGGAGTCAAAGCTGTTCTGAATGCAGGCATATCAACCAAGCTAGAGTCAGGGTATGTGAGCTGTGTGCTTAGGAGAATCAGCAACACAGGAGCTATAAAGTCAGGGACATGGAGGGATTTCAGGACCAAAGCCAGTGCATGTGTGTAACCCAAGGGTTCTTATATACAAGGAAAGCGTTCTGCCCCTGGACTCTACACCAGCCCTGGTGTTCTTCCCTTAGGAACTGCTGGAGAGGTGATGCATATGACCCTAAGTACTTATATCAATGTACGAAAATGTCATAATGGGGGCTAGAGAGGCTGCTCAGGGGTTAAGAGCACTTGCTGTTCTTCCTGAGGACCCGAGTTTGACTCCCAGCACCTACATGGCAACTGTTGCTTTCTTCTAGTCATTGTGGGCACTGCACACGTACCAGTAAACATATTGGCAATTAAACAAAAATCATTTAAAATCATGACTTTCATTTTTTTGTATAGTTATGTACAAACAAAAGTGTTGGGGGCTAGAGTAGTTTAGTGAGAGAGTACTTAGCAAGCTCACCCGAGTTTGACTCCCAGCACCTACATGGCAACTGTTGCTTTCTTCTAGTCATTGTGGGCACTGCACACGTACCAGTAAACATATTGGCAATTAAACAAAAATCATTTAAAATCATGACTTTCATTTTTTTGTATAGTTATGTACAAACAAAAGTGTTGGGGGCTAGAGTAGTTTAGTGAGAGAGTACTTAGCAAGCTCTGAGTTTAATACCTACTATCTTTTTATTTATTTATTTATTTATTTATTTATTTTGAAACAGGGTCTCCCTGTAGCCCCAGCTGTCCTGGAACTCAC